ATCAAAAACTACTTAAGAGATTTAAAAAAAAAAAAAAAAAAGGATACGAATTCTTGACCAAAATTTCTAGAGACTGCGTTCAACTCCCATATGGAAAGTATACTGCTTAAATGTCACACAGTACTGATTCATGTAATTAGAAATACTGATAAGTTTCATATGTACGAGAAGTCACCAGCAGCCGAGCGGTAAACACGCTTATTTCGACTCGCTTTCAAATAACTGCGAACAGACTTGTTGCATAAGAGGTTTTCGTGGACTCCATGTGTAACGTAAATACTTAGCCACTTTCGTCTAAAATGTTCTCCACGCAGCCCTCCCTTCATTAAATCAGATAGTAACTGTGAGCTTTGCAATAACTCAATAATCGTAAGTGTGAATCCCTTAACACCCTGGAGAGTTGCGGAATTGTTTTAAGACTTCATAGCTTCTAGTAGTGAGCATGCTGAAGAACCGTGGGCAAGATTATAAAATTAGGACGAGAAGGAATAGTTGCGCATATATGCATATTTTATTATATTGTATTAATCAGTAGCTATTATGACTCATAATCAGAGCTAGATTAAATATTAAGCTAAATAAGCACGCGCTAGAGCATCAAGATAAAAGAGGCACCACAATAATTTTCCGTTGTCGACTTTACCATGGAATATATGGTGCAGTTAAACTAAGACCAAAAGAGAAGAAATAGGAAAAAAAATATGTGTAAATTTATGTGGGGACACCGAAATCTTTTAAGTGCGTAAGGCCTCTAATAGTCTTCCGACTCTGCTAATAACTGATAAAAAAAAAAAAAAAAAAAAAAAAAAGGTTAAATATGATTAAATGATTAAAAAGTTCAGAAATGAGTTAAGATTCTTACCCTTAATCGGACTTCTCTCTATTTTATCTCTTTCTTTATATCTTGAATCTTATCTGTCTATGCATTTTTCTAAATCAGCATTTCACTGTCGGTGTTGCCAGGAATCACATTGTTCCTCAAGAAATCTGGCTGTACAGTTCCTTAAGAAGTAGTTATGAATAAACTAACTATATGTTAATGAATGCTGGAAATATTTTTGCTTTATTTCAAATACATAAGTTTACAAATTTACCTTGATTTACAAACTTTTTCTGATTAATTATTTGAAGAGCAAATAGTAAAGTTCAATTAAATTTAAATAATTCTCTTGCGCCATTGCTGCAAGGAATGAAATTTGAATTTAACAAATATTGTCTCATTCGTAGCTAATTTTAAATTAAAATTTTAAATTAGGGAAATTTAATTGTATACAAATAAAAGATTAATTATTGCTGTGAACTAATTTGCAATATCATTTAAATTCAGAGAGCATATGTAAATTAATTTCAAGTAACTGAAAACCAAGAAATAATATTTAATAAGCCAAAAAATTAATCCTAAAAATTTTTAAGACTAAATTAATTTGCAATAAGTGAATAATTGTTGAGCAGGCAGGAGACAGATCTTTTTAAGGAGACATTGCCTCCAAACCTAATTCTTCAATTACTCAATTCGTGTTTCGTCATCCATACAGGCATAGGTAAAGTATTATTCTAAACCAAAAGTAAAAACCAAATGTAGTGAATTGCTTAAATAAGAAATTTTAACTATTAAAGAATTTCGAGAAATTTAGTAAACAAATCGACTAAAAAACAAAATTATTAACTAAAAGTACATTGCTAATGTAATTAAGAGTTTAAATCCCAAGTAATTAACGCCCTCTATTTACACAGTTAGCAGAAACAAACTACTCAACCTCACTTTGTTTACCAAATGCTACTCCATTCCACGGCGTACAAAATATGTGGTTACAAGGTTAAGTTAAATTAAAACCTACTATTTACTTGCCTTTTTAGTATTATTTTTGTATTTTTATAGATTGCATTTAGTTTATTTTGATTTACAAGCATAATTCGTGTCAGGGAAGTTCCAATAGGCAAGGATTTCTATATTACTTTGGACTTAAATTTTGAATTGCATTAGCAATGTACTTTTAATTAATAATTTTGTTTCCTAGTCGACTTACTTACTAAATTTCTCGAAATTCTTTAATAGTTAAAATTTCTTATTCAAGCAATTCACTACATTTGGATTTTACTTTTGGTTTTGAATAATACTTTACCCATGCCTATATGGATGACGAAACACGAATTGAGTAATTGAAAAGTTAGTTTTGGAGGCAACTTCCCTTTGAAAAGATCTGTCTCCTGCCTGCTCAACAACTATTCTCTTTATGTAAATTAATTCAGTCTTAAAAATTTTTAGGATTAATTTTTTGGATTACTAAATATCATTTCATTGTTTTAGGTACTTGCACTTAATTTACATATGCTGTCTGAATTTAAATGATATTGTAAATTAGTTCGCAGCAATAATTAATCTTTTATTTGTATACAATTAAATTTTCATAATTTAAAATTTAAATTTAAATTAGCTTTATACGAATGAGAGATATTTGTTTATATATATATATATATATATATATATATATATATATATATATATGTAATGTTAATAATTTCTTTAAACAGCTTTTACTTTTATAACCGCTGACAATAAGTTTTTTTTGAAAATTTTGAAAAATGTATTTTTAATATAAAATGGAAAATGAAAATATAAAATGGAAATCTTATTCACAGAACTTATTCATTCCCAGAGCTCAAACTGTTTTACAAAACATTGACAGGCTTCAGCATCGACACACAGCCAACTCGTAATATTATTTATGTTGATTAAAAATGAGGAATACGTATAGTTTAATAAATTTTTGCACGATTACCTGATAAAACTTCACGAGAAAATTTAAATTGAATAGAGAAAATAAAAATTTAAATTTAAATTTTTTTGGACTTTAAAAGCTTACAAATTATTTGTGAGAAACTTCTTTTGCCATATCAAATGTAACAAAATTATAAATTAAAGACACTATTGAATCTCAAAAGAATATCATTGAATGGCATTAAATGTAATTCAATGAAAGAAAATCAGCCTCGAATTATTCTAATTTATTTATTTATAATGTACTTCTCCCGCCTTCTTAGCGTGCCTTCGTAGTGATCAGCACACTGAGCCTCCGTGGTTCGATTCCCGGCAAAGGCGTTGCTAATTTTTCATCTGTTCTGTTTCCAAAAATCCTAATGCCTTTACAGTGGCACCCGAACTAAAAGGGTGTTGGATGCTGATTCTCCGCACCCAGGATTTGGCGATTGGGTCCCCTAAAAACCCCAACCGTGGTTCGATTCTCGGCGTTTGCTATTTTTCATCTTTCCTGCTTCCAAAATATACCTAATGTCTCTACATATTAACTGATCTCAGTGCAAACTGCAAATGACATTAGTAATGGCAAATTTTGAAATAAAATATCTCGTTCAATTTTTGTTGTACTGGAGTCAAACTTTCTGTGTTTAATGTTTCATAAGGAGTATATCAATTTCCTAAATATAAGTATAGGGACAGGAGGAATGTTTAAAAAGTTAGCCTTTTTGATACTGTTAATAAATTCTTTATTATTTCTTCATTGTGTTTATATATGTAACATATATTATTTTCATGCTTATTTATTTATTTATTTTTTGCCTACATGAATTAAATTTTTGTGTAAATGGAACTCTTAGCAGGAGGTTTCTTAAATATGCATTTTAAGTTATTGGCATTGTTAGTATTACTTGAGAAAAACATTAAATTATTTTACGGTTAAACCAACTATTCGAAAAAAATGCTAACAGGGTTTCTCGAGATATGAATATTATTTCAAGTGCTTTGCAACGGTAAAAAGTGTCAGAAATGCTGCTCTATGTATTCAGTTTAGAAGGAAAAAAAAATGTGTTATTCTACTAATAACAACTTTTATGAATGAATAGTTGCTTGATAAAATTTAATAAAGTTTTGAGAACGTAAATTCTTTAGTAGTTAATTTCCAGCATTTTCTCAAGGAAACAAAAAGCATAATAAACTGGGGACGGAAGGGAAAGACTATCAAACCCGCCAAAATTAAATCAATCGGGGGGGGGGGGGGGAAGAAAAGAAGAAAAAAAACGAAATTGCCAAACAACAGTAAGAAATCAAATTAAAAAATCCACAGCAAAAATTAATACATTTCATAAAATACAGGTACAAGGCTGCTTTAAGGGAAATAATTCGTATTATTGAAATGCTTAATTGAAAGTGGAATTTAACTTATACGTAATGTTTTCTTTAAAAGAGTTGAAATTCAGAGAAATAAAAAAATTCAATTTTCTTTTTGGCAAATATTTATTTAACTTTCCCCTCCCCACCCCCAATAAGAGTTAATTTTATAATCTTCTTTTATTATATATCCGATCCAATATGTCTAATTTTTAGCAGTAGTAGTTTGACTATACTCTTTCACATTAAGTTTTAAATTTAGTTAAACCCCCCAAGCTAATTAAAAAAATATAGGAAAAAATATAAGAAAGAAAGATAAAGAAATTATTAAAAAATATTTACATTTTCAACTTACAGAAATTTTTATGGGTCCAGAATATTATTATGGATATCATTTATTAATTCACTTAGCCCGCATACATTTTCAGTTACAACTATATTCGATAATGAGGTACAATTTACGCGCAGCTGACATGCTAAATGAATAATTATAAAATTATAACTTTTTTTTCAAACTTCTTTCGCTTCGTTGTTATTAATACTATTTATCGATATATGAATGAGCTCTAAAATCCGCTCTCTCAGCCGCCAGTCGCACGTACATTTTACACTTTTTAACTTTTTCTTTGACATCCATACTTACCTCTGTAGAATTCCACCGAAGCGCGAAAGCGCTTCATCCTACCGATGCAAATCGGAAGTGAATGTAACACTTAAATGTTGGCGCCATTCCCTGGCGGGATAAAAGTTGTTTCGACTTCGGAATACTTGGTAACCCTGCGCGGCGATACCAACCAGCCGTGTAGCCTTCTGCGGAGCGTCAGTTAGCAGCTTGACCTCGATGGGAAGAAAGAATGCGTCAAATGCCAAGTAGGGAAGGCAAGCGCCCCATAAAATGAGTTCAACCACTGGAACGAAGAGAGAAAACAGTTCAACCGGCGTAGTATCGTAACACCGGCTTTAAAATCACAGTGGATGCTACACGCGTTTACTAAATCGAATGCCAGTAACAGTTTTTCTTTTTTGGAGAAGTGATGTTTACGGAGTGAGAGAGAACTTGATCTGCCAAACCACCTGTATAAGCAGCGCAGCCAAAAGGACCTGTTGCTAACTTCAAGAAGATACAGTTTATGTTGCTTTCACCGCTGGTGCGTGTTTTCACATCCATTACATGTGAGTGTATTTAGTGATATTACGTGCTTTTCTGAGTTGCTGGATTGGTAAACAAAGTAGCGTGCTTCAAATATTCAGCATATTTGCTCAAAAATTATGATTTGAAACGTGAACCGTTTGAGTGATTCAGAAGTTATCCGTGGAGTTATTTCTCGGTGTTGACTGCTGAAATTCCAAAGTTTTCCGATCATCCAAAGTTTAAATTGTGTTCATATTTTGTGTGAAATGTGTTTAGGTCATCGTTAAAATTTAGAAATGTGCTATGCAATTTAAAAGTGACTTCAAAATGTGTGTTGTGTTTCTGATTATGAATCAGTGCTTAGTGATTGATGCATCCGGTCTTCAAAACGTTATCATTTCAAGGTGCAAGAATGTAAACAGTTCTCAAGGCTAGCTGCGAAACGGGGTAAGTTTTATTTTCAATTTTATTTAAAATTGATATAAGTTATGCAATATGCTAAAGTTGGAAGCAAAAGAATGCAGTTATTAAATGCTACAGTAATTAATGCCAATATTGATTATACTGTAACAAGGACTACTAGGTTAAGTCAAAATAAAGCTAAAGTAAAATGTGAATGGCCTCCTCCTAGGACTAGGTTTACAATTAGCTTTAGGATTCAGATGAGGACCAACGTTGTCTTAGTTATTTTAGCGCTTTTGCTGTTTCTTGTGCGCTTTACTCAAGGACAAGGGCCCGGCCCTCAGGCTGCCGGGCTATCCATGAGGTCACGTGAAGCCGATATGCGGTTTCAGTTTGAAATTGAAGAGGGCCAACCTCCAGGAACTGTAGTAGGAAGTATACCTACCAAGCCAAATTTTACGTATCGATTTAACGAGCGTCCTCCTGAATTTCTTCTCAATGGCTCAACAGGTGTTATAACAACAGCTATGGAAATCGATAGGGAAGAGTTATCTAGTGAAAGATTTGATTTAGTTATTTTGAGTAGTCAGCCTACTTATCCGCTGGAGGTTCGAATAGTTATTTTAGACATCAATGACAATTCCCCATATTTTCCGGAACCCAGTATTGAAGTTTCTTTCTCTGAAAGTGCCAATATAGGAACTAGAGTGATACTGGATACTGCAACGGATGGGGATGTTGGCGTTAATGACGTAACTACTGATTATAAATTAGTGTCTGGAAATGATGAAGGAAAATTTAGACTGGTTGTCACTACAAACCCTAGTGGAGAGACGCCGTATTTACACCTAGAAACAACTGGTCGCCTTGATAGGGAAATAAAATCCTTTTATCAGTTAAATATTTCTGCCCAAGATGGAGGAACTCCTCCTCGCTTCGGTTATCTGTTGGTAAACATTACAGTTTTAGATGTAAATGATAATCCTCCAATATTTGACCACAGTGATTATTCTGTGAGTTTGAATGAAAGTGTGCCTCCTGGTACTAGCGTCCTTCAAGTAAGAGGAACTGATAATGATATAGGGGACAATGCTAAAATAACGTATTTTCTTCGTGACACTGAGAGTCAATTTACCATAGATCCCCAAACTGGTGTGATTTCCACTTTAGAGGTTTTAAAATGTGAACAAAATTGCCCGACTCAAGACAAATGCCCTAAAAGTTGTGTTTTTACAGTTATTGCCCGTGACCATGGGTTTCCCCATCAAGACGGGAGAGCTTATGTAACCGTCACTCTTCTGGATGCAAATGATCATGATCCTACCATAAAATTTCGATTTTTTCCACCGGAAGGTGTCTATGCCACAGTTGATGAAAATGCACAGAATGCATCTGTAGTTGCTGCAGTGAGCGTTATTGATTGTGATGAAGGTCAAAATGGTGAAACTTGGGTTGAGATCCAAGGCGGAAATGAGCTTGGTCACTTTCGGCTCGAATCCACGCCCAGCTTTGATCTCGTCCGTGTTAATGGCGTCCTTGACCGTGAACAAATTAGCAAGTACAATCTCACGATCACTGCAACGGATCGTGGTATTCCTCCTCGCAGTTCTACTGCTTTTCTAATAATACATGTGAATGATGTCAATGATCATGAACCTATATTTGAGAAAAATGAATACTCGGCTGTTCTAGCAGAAACAGTATTGGTTGGTACCTATGTTGCTGGTATTAGCGCCACAGATGAGGATACTGGAGTTAATTCTGATATCTATTATGCCATAGTTTCCGGCAATGATAGACGTTGGTTTGATATTGATGTTCATACTGGGTTAATTACCACGTCCCGTGTGCTCAATCGAGAAGATCAAGATTACGTTGAGCTTAAAATATCCGCTAGGGATGGTGGTCCTAACCCTCGATGGACGTATACATATCTTAGGATACAAATACTTGACGAAAATGACGAAGCACCATCTTTTGCCGAACCCTTAATGAATGTAACATTAATTGAAAGTGCTCCGCCAAATTCTCTTGTTGCTGTTGTTACAGCTGTAGATAATGATTTGGGTACTAATGGTAGTGTTGAGTATTCTTTCCATCCGGATGTTGAACGTCTTTATCCAAATAAATTTTTTCTTGATTCGACTTATGGTAGATTGACTCTTAAGCAGCAACTAGACAGAGAAGAAAATGAAGTTTATGTTGTGCCAATAATAGCTAGGGACGAAGGAACTCCATCGTTATCTTCAACTGCTACTGTTCGTATTGTTTTGCTAGATGTTAATGATAACAAACCTTACTTTTACCCAAAGCAATATTTTCACACTTTAAGACCCTCCGATACCATAGGAACTATTGTAGCACGTCTTACGGCTACTGATGCTGATATTGGTAAAAATGCTAAGGTTGTATACAATTTAGTTAGTGGTGGAGAAGGAAAATTTGAAATAGATGAAATTACTGGTATCGTTAAAACTAAAATGCACTTAAGTAAACGAGAAATGTCAAAATATGAAATAATAGTATCTGTTCAAAATCCTGATGACAGAAAAATGTCAGATCAAGCTGTGATATATGTATATGTCGGAGATACTCAACATCGTTCTATTCAGTTTGATCACAACAAAGGATATAATTTCGTGATAGAAGAAGATATGAAAAATTCAGAGCCAAATCTGGGGAGGGAAGCAGGAAGAGTTTCAGTGAGTAGATCTGTTAGATCTGGAGTCAAATATTCGATTATAAATGGAGATCCTGAAGGGTGGTTTCAGATAGAAGAATCCCTTGGTATTATTAGCACTGCGCGTTCAATCGATCGAGAAATCCAATCTCAGTTTTCTCTTGAAATTGTTGCATATGATTTCTTGGGATTTACTCAAACCACGGTTAATATTACTATAACAGATCTTAATGATTTTCCTCCAACTTTCGAACATCCAAGTGGATCAATAGAAGTGATGGAAGACTGGCCAGTTGGACATGAGGTTTATCTCGTCAAAGCTTATGATTTGGATATGGGACCAAATGGTAGGATAGAATATTCTTTATCTGCTCAACCTCACAACACATTTTATATTGATAAAATGGCTGGTATGATTTATTTAAATAGACCTGTAAGATTTGAAGTTGGGAGTCAGTATGAAATTGTTGTAACTGCTCGTGATCTTGGCGTACCTTCGCTGTATTCAAAATTAGAATTAACGGTAGTGATAAAGGATGTCAATGACAGAACACCTGTGTTTGATCACGCATCATATGAAACATCACTACTAGAATCAGTTCCTGCTAATGATAGATTTTTTCTTCTGAGAGCAACTGACGCAGACTGCGGAATAAATAAGCAAATAACATACTCTATAACGGTTGGTAATGATGAAAACAGATTTGGGATTTTTCCGGATGGCTACTTATACGTGAAGAGACCATTGGATCGTGAAAAGCGAGACTTTTACTCACTCACTGTGACTGCTCAGGATAATGGCATAGAACCTCGCAGTTCGTCAGTGAATATTGTAATTCATATAATAGATGAAAATGATAATAATCCAACTTTTGACAATAAAACATTTCAGTTTTATATAGCTGAAAATGAACCACCAGATACGTATGTAGGCAGGCTGTCTGCAGAAGATTTGGATAAAGGCCGCAATGCTGAACTTACTTATACTATCACGAACATACAAAGTGATTTTATGATCAATCCGAAAACAGGATTCATAAGAACTTTATGCTATTTTGATCGAGAACAACTGGTTGAGGCCTCTGGACATGATTATTTAGTTATGGACGCAGTAGTTATGGATGGAAGTGTTACTAGATTGAGAGATGAAGCTAAAATTATTGTCCACGTCACAGACGTGAATGACAACGCACCAACTTTTATACGTGTTCCATACCATGCTGCGATTTCTGAAGGATCTTCGATAGGAACGCAAGTTATTCGTATTACTGCTGTGGACTTGGATGATGGAATTAACGGCAATATACAGTATTCTATTGTGAATGGAAATGCTGAGGAAGTTTTCCAGATCGATGATATAACTGGTCAAATTACTGTATCTAAGCCACTAGATAGAGAAACAAATCCTCGTTACATATTAACTGTCATGGCTCGAGACATGGGCGAAGATATTTCGCATAATACTACAGCTCTTGTTAGTGTGGATGTGTTAGACGAAAATGACAATGTACCCCGTTTCGATAATGCTACTACTAGACTGATAAATATAAGTGAGGATGCAGCTGTTGGATCAAGGATTTTTACATTTTCAGCTACTGATAATGATTTAGACGTGAATGCTGAAGTTACATTTTTAGTAGCTTCCGGAAATTTCAAGGAAACATTTCGAATCGATGGCCCTTCTGGATCACTGTATTTAGCTAGACCTCTTGATTATGAAGACAAGCATAATTATGTTTTGAATGTCTCTGCGACAGATGGAGGAACTCCGAGATTGTCAACAACAATACAGGTTGTCGTGGAAGTTTTGGACGTAAATGATAATGCACCCCGTTTTTCTAGTACTGCAGTTGTAAGACAAATAGAAGAAAGCATACCACCGAATACCCCTGTTGTAACTCTGACTGCTCAGGACCGAGATTCAGGAGTAAATGGAAAGATACTTTTCAACATATCGCATCAAGAACCTCCTGGAAATCATTTTGCAATGCAGGCTGAAACCGGGGTTTTATATACTACAAAAAGTATTGACCGAGAATATAGCGACACTTTTCGCTTGACAGTTGTAGCTACTGATCAGGCGGAAGATCCATCAATGCGATTATCTGTTGAAAAAACAGTAACTATAATTGTAGAAGATATCAATGACAATGCACCGACATTTGTGTCAATGGATGCAGGCGTTTTGCCTGGAGGCATAGAGAAAGGTTATAAAATCATGACTTTGTCCGCTAGTGATCCTGATGCAAATAACAATGGTATGGTTACTTATGAATTAGAAGGTGGAGACTCAGCCTTATTTAGTCTCGATAGGCTAACTGGAGATTTATATACTTCTCGATCTATAGACCGACCAGCAGTCACGTATACACTCACAGTGAAAGCAACTGATCAAGCTGTCGTGTCCGTTCGAAAATCATCGAGAAATAAAGTAACTATCATTGGTACTCTACGGAATAGTGATGGTCCTGTATTTGGATCTGCAGAATATACTGGCTCTGTCTTGGAAAATAAACCAGTGGGAACTAGTGTTTTGAGTGTAAGAGCACAATATCCTCATGGTCAAACGGAAAAGCAGGTGGAATACTTTTTAACTGCTGTGACTAATGCTGCCGGTGTGCCACAAAGCCGTGTGTTTGCAATTAATCGGTTTAGTGGTGTCATCTCAACTGCTTCAGTGCTGGACAGAGAAGGTGGTGCAAGGATGTTTCACCTTGATGTTTACGCAGTGGACACTGTAGCACAAAGCCCCAAGACTTCAAAAGCAAAGGTAAGCCTTTTAAAAATTCTTTCCTTTAATTTTAGTTCTTTTTTCCCCAGATACATAAAGTTTTGGAAGAAAGGAAAATTTTCTTTATAATTGATGTCTCTAAACCTTAAATACATATGTCACAATAGATAAGCATCTTTCAGATATTTTTTCTTTTCAGTTTTTCTGTGCCAAGGAATAAAACATTATACACACTTATATATTATGATATCACGGATTAAATTGGAAGGGGTAGTTATTTAATCGAAATAGAATAGGTGTTGTGTCTAAAATCAAATAGGTACTTTCTGTTCAACACAGTATTACTAAGCGAAAAAATTAAATGCTTTGAAACTATTTAGAATTCATAAAAGAAATGTAAATGCGAAGAAGTACTTTTTTACTGAAAAAAATAATTTTAATCGGTACAAATTTAAAATACCTTTTCTGATTGCGGCTAATTTTTGATAGACATGTTTTTAAATTTAGCATTAAAAGTGACACACACTCTTCACTTTTAGCAGGTAAAATTTCTCAGAATCAAAAGTCTTCAAAACAGAAGAGAAACAAGCCAAAGTGAAACATAAAATTAACAAAGCAACAACCTTGTGCTTAGCATAGATTTAATCAAGATCTCAATCGATTTCGAGGGCAAAGAGGTACAGATCTTCTTGTCTGCGCACGAGTTTACTCTTGGATCAAAGTAGAGACAAGTGATGCAGAACTATTAACTAAATTTAAATTGCAAATTTTTCTATGTATGACCTTGCAAAAATTTTTGAAATTTTGAAAAAAAGTATTTTATATTGAGAGCCCTGTCAAAAAGAAGATTACTGTTTTAGGCTTTAATGATTTAAAAAAGAATGCTGAACTTTCTCAAAAATTCTACAGTTGTAATGTAATTAAAACGCAGTTTATCTCTTTTGTTTATTAGAATACAAATAAACATATTCCTATATTCAGATTTTCATTGGAACACATTTTTAAAAAGTGCAGGATGTATGAATTGATTTCAGATATGTAGCTCTGTATAAGTTTTAATGGCAGTTTTAAAATCTTTTTTTGAAAAATGAGAGGGCATTTCCACGCTTTCGCATCAATTTATAAACAATACTGGGTAATTTATGCTCGACAATTTCTAGATTAATAAAATTTTTGCATTAAATTAAGCTTGTTACAGAGATGAAAACTCATGACCTACCTTACTTAAAAGTGCTGTTAACATATGTTGTTTAAAGTTACAACTTGTGTAATGTTAATACAGGCCATTTTCTTTTAGAAAGTCCTCCACGAAGGCACGCTTTTCCTTAGGCAGATAGTCCTCATGTGCATTGCCATATTCCAAATATCTCAGTCCATTAAGTTTACAATTGTTTAGGCGCAGAGAATTCACATTCATGTACAAATTATGTCATATTTTTTTTAGGATGGCATAATTTATAACAAATGAATTTTATCGCTGTAGTTTTGTTACTTCGTACTTTTCCTAATTTTTGAAATTTTTACATCTAAGCATTTCCCTTGTGTTCTTCTAGAATAATAGAAATAAAAATATTTATAGCAATACTATATATATATATATATTTCTGGAATTCTCTCCTGAAGCAAGGATTTTAATTGAAACACCGTTTTTAGCTTTGAAAAATTAAAAACAAAATAGTTTCTCATTAATTTAGATGGATATTTTATACCGTTAATAAATAGCACGGTCAGAAATGCATCTTTCGCTTTATAGTTTTTGAATCCCAGTAGTTTGGAAATTAGAGGGGAAATTTAGAATTATTTTTCATCTTGCAAAGAATGAAGAAGCTTCAGCATTGATTAATAATTTAATATTTTAGCTAGAGTACTCATTTTTACTAATTTTGTGTTCTATTTCCGATTATACTAAGATGTTCTGAGTATGCGGAAGCTTGAACTGTGTGTTAGAAAAATATACATAACTGGTTACAATTTTAATATAAATTTTGAATCGCTAAAATAGATAACAAATATAGCGTTCTGTTGTTACAAATGATAAAAAAGTTAGAAGGCTAGAAAAACTATTTGAAAGGTGATTTGAGAAAATGTCTCTATGAACATGAAAATTTTTAATATTTGTTTTAATGAACATGTTTTATTTGACGCACTTGGCCTTTCACCCCCCTCGCATTAGGTGCACGCACTCACATTTATCTATTTATTACGAAAAATGGAAGAATATGTAAAATATGTATTTGTTTGCATTTCATTATGATAATGGTGATTGATTTGATATTTATCGCTACAAAAGCAAGAACTATTTTTCTGATGGAAGAGTATGCTTTCGAACATTCTAGGCAAAGCTGAATCATATTCATTTTACATACTATGAAGAATTTGGGGCAAATTAATCCACATATGTTTAGACAGTTTAAAAGATCGCTTTTGATGTATTATCTAAGGTAGAATTTTTTGTAACTTTTTAATATTCTGAAATTTTTGTCCAGATTTACGGAAGTGTATTGTTATGAATGATAATGATTATTATTTAGAAGTCCTCCTTATTTTTTGCGCTATGGTCATGTAATATAAAATTATTTGAATGAATGTCATTTCATTTTGGGGTTCATTCTACATAACGCAGGCGAATTAAAAATAGATGTCATGTCAAAGAATCTTTTTATGGTTTTCGGTGGTTTTAGGTCTTTTATTACATGTATTTCGTAGAAAGTAAATTTTTCGATGTATTTGATCTTGCTGAGATAAAGAACGTATATTTTATGTTTGTTTAGTTTTTGTTTAAATGCTTGTTTTCATTATGTGAACTGACATTTGATATTTTTATGAATTCAAAATGTCAAACAGTGGAAACAGCTGTAGAGGCTTATAAGTAAGGAATTTGGAATCGTTGATTATTATCTCAAGTAAATAAATATTGTTAAAAAATCGTTGATTTGGAATCGTTGATTATTATCGCAGGTAAATATTGTTAAAATATCGTTGATTTGGAATCGTTGATTATTATCGCAAGTAAATAAATATTGTTAAAAAAGCGGGAAAAATTTAGCAAACATTTGTTCCATTTTGTAATATTTGCAAAAACTGAAAAAGAATAAAGCTGTCATGTCATTTGTTTATCGAAGTAATTAGAGCGTTTATACCACTTTTAACAACTTTTGCAAAATTTGCTTCGGTTCTTTCATAGTATGCATTAATTTTTATTTAGCAATTTTGCAGCTAGATTGAAAAAGGGAAACGTTTTATTTTGGCAGTAATAATTCCAAGACGTGTATATAAACGGGGTTTGATAACCGCGTAAGCCACCTGGGCTTAGGCTTCAGCTTTTGTGGCCAGGGCTTCAGATTGTCATAAGAGCCCTACGGTCACGAAGGCTGGTTGCTTAAAATTGTTGATAATTTTTTGATTAAATTCATGCTGGAAAACTTTCCTTCACTTTTTAAGCCAGTACTTGATTTTAGTCGGGAAATAAATATTTTTTTAAAAAAGGAAATATATGTTGTCTCTGGGATTCCTAGACCTTTTTTAGCTCTAAAGGATTAAAACATAAACTTATTAAACAATAAAAATACATTTTAATTAAATTAAAAGAATAGAAAACATTTTAATTTCTTCAGCAATCGACAGCATAAATCTAGAGCCAGACGAAAACAAGTTCTTTGAGAGCTGCCAGACAGATCAACTTTCCTAACAAAACCCATCCCATTTACTTTCAATACCCTAGATGTTTTCTCTTCCATTTTCGTTTCGATGATCTTTTTTCTCCATTGAATACGGTAAGGTAGAAGGTATAGCGTCAGTATGATATTTTTGTAATGTTTACCAATGAATACATTTCCTTTTTTTGAATGTCAAATTTTCTTTTAGACACGGTCTGGAAATCGGAACTGTTTCGTTCAATAAAGAAACAAAATATTTTTCTCCTTATGATAACCATTCTGTAATAAAGCATTTAATTCTTTTGGCTATTTTGGTTTTCCTCTCTTTTATTCTTCAGTGTGTTTTCATTTTTAATGTTTTTGTGTACTGTGCAGGAAATTAGTCAAAACCTGAATCTTTTGCGTTCTGTGAAAAATATCTCTAGAAGTTAATTGTATCTTAACGAACAGAGTAGATATTTTATAAAAATTTATCTTTACCTTTAAAACTAATTTTAATCCTTAACTGATATAGAAGAAACGTGACATATCGCATAATTATAAGAATAAGACATTTCCCAAACGGTTATAATTAGAAAGCGTGGGACCATCATCAGTATTATATATCAGCAAAGAATAGAAAATATATCCATACAGAATGTTTAAGACGGAGCTTAGGTTTTGCTTTATATATGTTTTTAATAAATGCGAGACAAGAGATAAGGACAAAAAACAGAATGTACTTTTTTTGTGTTACAAAGGAAACGTCGCAGGCTTGACTTATTATGATTGCAGCCCGAGCCTTATATATTAGATCTCGTCTATAGTTAACATGAACGCACATATAAAATGTAAGTTATTTATTATCAGATAAATGTATTTATTTCTTCAATCATTACATTTAGTAATGTGCGTGCCAGCCTATAACCAGCCAAGTTTTAAAACGTAAAATTCATTTTAAGAAAAATATATTCACAAAATTAAAAAAAAAAAAAAAATTCTAAAAAATATTAGATTATTTTTGTTTCAATGGTAAAATAAGGAGGCGATCAGAACTTAATCTGAAAACTCCAGCAGTTAAAAACCTAATATTTCTGTATGAATAATAGAAGGGATATTGGTATATCATCAATTCACATGATCTAAAAAATGAATTTAAACATGTGGGAATTTTATTGCCTTTATTATGGGTTTTAGGTAAGCAAGTAACGTCCATCACTTTGTAGATCAAAATGCCTCAGAGAAAGAATTGCCAGAAGTCATATTAATTTCTTCTTGTAAGGGGAACAAAAATCACAGAGGAAAACAGCCTTTCAATTAGATATTAGTAAGACTGCTGTGAAAGATGTATGAAAGTTTTGGAAAGCTGGGAGACGTTTCAGGTCTTTAAAATTAAAAATAAAT